GTTTGGAAAAAAGTAAGCTTAGAAACGATCAAAACCATGTTATTCATTATTTTTCAGAAAAATTGTAATCAATAAATTCAATTGGGATCTGCATTTGGCCCGTTTTGAAGACTACTATGATTTCTGAAACATCTTTCATCTATTTTGCAGCTTCCCAGAATCGTCTGTAGTTTTTTTCGTGCAATAAGTTTGTCAAATTTCTATTGAGTCGTGAATAAAAGTTTGGAAAACAAAAAGTCATCTGATATGGTTTTCTGTTGTATTAGGAACAATGTCTTCTGAATTAGAATTCTTCCAGTTATAACTATTCAAAAGGCTTCGGCCTAAAGATGGCACAAAAAAGGTTATCTCGAAATATCGTTCATTTTCGCCCCTCGAGAAGTTGAACTTGTCAGCTTACGATGGAGGTACCGCACCACTACCAGGTGAGCTACGGTACCACATACTGTTCTGCCAATGAAAGTGGCACGATAGTCTCGCATTATGTGAACAATAATTACTGTACATCGTCGAAAATGCATACCGTAGCCACAAAAAAAACCTGGAAAGTCTCAAGCCTTTTATACTTTTGACAACCTTTAGCCGTAAATATCTGTTGATAATGAAAACTGGAGCCTTCTGTGAAGAAGTGTGAAAATCGAATGATCGGTTCTTAGGCCTAATTTTCAGCAACCCTCAACATTTTCATCGTTTTCCGATTCCTGAAGGACACCCAATTGTTCTTGTTTTTGTACTGAAAAAGTTGAAAAGGTGTCTTTCGGAAATTGGCAAATCGGCTGAAAATTAGGAAAAAAAAATCAAAAAATTACGTGAATGCAAATTTTTTAATCTTTGTTGTTTCACACACTCCAATATTTTCAAAGTGATTGAAAACTTGACAGCCGAGCTCCAGACTCCTGGGAACTGTCTTGAAATATCTGTCTGCTTCCTTGCTTTCCAACTGTTTGTCGACTGCTCATAAATTCCAAAAACTTCTGAATTCAAAACCCAATCCGAGTCTATGTTCCGTTGATTTTCTTCGTGACTTCGAAACCAAGAAAAAAAATGAAGCTCAGTATCCAATACCCGCCGTGTCAGTTGCTCTATCACCACCCAACCAATACTATTTTTTCAGAAAAAATTGTTCGATGGCCCGACGAGGGTATGATGAATTCGAACTTTCCCGAAATCGAACTGTCCCGAAATCGAACTCGTTCGAATTAGAACTGTCCCTTTTTCGAACACGCCCAGAACA